TGTGAATCTAAGAGGGTTCTGTTGCAATGAATTTTTTAAACAACTTATCACACATCAGTACAATTTAATTAACCAGACAGATCTTTCAGCTCTTGGAATGTCACAGATGTTTGTATTTTTTTTTTCCTTTCAACTGGATAACATTTTCTGGCATTGGGTACAGTGTAATTTTGATTGTTTAACATCTTGACTTCTCTGTTAAATGCATGTGAAGAAATTCTACTTCATGTTGACTGTAATTCTACCATTAACGATTTGACAGAATAATAAATCAGAGGTCACATCTTAGAGCTATTGATTAAGGTGCTTATACTTAACATGAACTGCAACAGCCTGCATGTGTAATGGATGAAATACTGTATTTTGAAAAGCATGTTTTAATTGATTAGATTTAAAAGTAACTTAATATTAGACTATGCACACTAAATAATGGACTGACTAACAGAAATCATTTTGTTCCCAAGGCACAAATTATAATTGGAGGTGCATTATGTAGATCCAGAGCAGGTTTTTTTTGTGTGTGACTAACTTTAATGATTTGAGTGTGAACTTCAAAGGAATAAGTAAAGGTCAATTCCATGCTAAAAAGACAAAAAAGATGAAAACAATATTTTGGCTGTGGAGCCTACCACTGTCACGTAAACATGACACCAAAGCTGAAACAATGTTCTCACGTTTTTCCTTCTTTTCAGCATGTAAATTAATTTCTACCTTTAGCTTTAATGATACCCAACATTTTACATTTTGTGAAGCGACTAGAAAGCCATGTTGTTGAAAGAAAGGTTTACTTCAAAGAGTGCCTGAATGGATTTCTCAGATCAGTTACTGTAAACCAAATGAGATACCTGGGAGGAACTATGTATTTGTAACCTTGCTTTATGTACTCATGATATGTTTGTGCTATAAATACATATTTAAACATATTCATGTTTAAATATGTATTTCTAGCTTAGTAAACATTATTCAGCTGTTTTAAAATTATATGTATTTCCAGTGAATTAATGCTTTTAATCCCCAGTTCTAAATGTTGGGAAACATAAAAGTCCCCTATAATGTTTGTCCAGTTAAAGGTTCATTTTACCTTTCAGCTAATTTCCCTATTTCCCCTAATACCCTTTCTCTAGAACATCATCTGTGGATCATTACTAAAACTGGAACCCCAATAAACTATGTCCCTCCAGGAACAGAGTTGGTAACCTTGGTTTTAACTGCATCCCCCCTTTACCAGTCATGTCAACTATGCAAGGGAAAGTTAGAAGTAAGGGGGACCCTAATTGTAGATGTCTGAGGTCAACAATTAAGTAGAGAAATGTATCAAGGTCTACTTAATACTAAAGATACCAAATATCTACTCCAGGTAATGACTTTCTGATATCTCTAGAAAGCAGTCCACTTAGATGATTGCTGGCTTCAGGCTGCTTTTGTTGGAGCTCCAATCTATATGGGAAAGGATCAAGTCTGAACGGGTACTTGGAAAAGGCTTGTAGTAAGACTCTACAGAGCTTAACTAGCCCTTCACATCTGGTCAGAAAGAATTTACAAAATGCCATGATCAGCCGAAGCATCTATCACTTTCCTCCTCGAAGGTGTTTGAGCAGTAAGTCAGTCTTTCCCATTCAGAAGGTGTCAGACGATGGGAGGTAAGATTGCTTGTTCAGGAAAAAACATAGAGCTTGACTGTGTTAATAACTGAGCAAGCTCAATTTCTTCTTTAAAGAATTCTTCAAATTACATGTTAAGACAAAGGCTGAGTTTTGATTGAGTTAATGTTGAACTAGCCCACTTTTTTTCTTCAAAGAAATCTTCAAGGCATATCTAAGAATTAGTATGATCAGAAATTGAATATTGCAGGAAAAGGAGGTTTCTTCTTTTTAAAACTGCCTTTTTAAGGCACATTTACAGTATGGATGTGTATTAAAAAACATTGTCAGCTCTCAGCTGACCTGCAGTGCATTTTGTAATGTTTAGGATTGAGATTTTCATTAAATCATTGTTCTTGATAAAGAAGTTCATGTATGAATATTTTTTTTTGTTTAATTATACCACACGGATGGCTAATATTTGGGATACAGCCAAAATACACAGGGGTGAATAACTTCTTATTGGACTGCAAAGACTGCTGACTCACATGCCATTCATTATTTAAATGACTGGATTGATCTATTTACTTAATTGGTCAAAATACATTTACTAGGTTTTAATCAGTTTGCAGATAAAACCTCCAGGACTGTGGAACCAGGAAGGCAGGGTCAATCATTTGCTGGCACATTAAAGGTGGAGTTTGTAAACAGGGAATTATTTGGGGATTCATGTAAAATAGAAGCAAAGGCTTACTTTATGTGCTTTTTAAATGTACATTAAAATATTTACTTTGGATAATGTGCCTAGGCTGTCTCTAATACCAAAGATTATGAACATATTTACATTGACTTATTTACTGTAGTTCTTCTGTTCCAAATATGTGCTCCAGAAATAAATCCTAAAATACTGCTTTCCTGTTTCACATTGAATATAAAATAAATCACATGGAAACAGAGTTGTCATTCTGTCCCCTTTCCCCTTGAATCAAGCTACTTTTATGTAGTTTGTCCATTCCAGTTCTTCGTAAAAACACTTTGCTGAGAGAACAATTTAAAGGAGCACATTACTGAATTACAATAAGGCGCACCATAAGGTGTCAGACTTATTTTTTTATGGTTGGCCAGATTTCAATGTGTTTCATGTGAGCCATGCATACCTTAATGTATCAAAATATCAGACCATTACATACTATTATTTGTAGTGTTTCTCATTTTGGTGTATTGCAAATTCGGTTCTACAACTATTGCTATTGCTCTCTGGAAAGTAGCTACAGTACATCTTGCTAAACAACCAAACATGTCAGACTTCCATGAACTTGAATAAATATATTTTTTACAATTTACTTGAGGTACACATTGTTTATTTTTTTTCTTCAATACAATATTTACAAAACCCTTAATAATACTTTTTAGAATCTTCTCTCGAGATAATATTAAACATTTGGTACAATTTCAATACAACCAATGTTTGCTTGGTTGCTGAGCTTGCTCCAAAATTTGGTGGAGGTGTACGCTATGTACTGTACAAGACTTGCACTTTTTGTGCAAAGATATGCCCGTCAGGCTCGATCTGCTTTTCTTCCAAAATGTATTTCTTGGTCATGTGGCTGTGTCTGTGGTCCCTTCACAAGTGTGTTTAAATGGCTCCAGACACCTCAAGAAGGCTGATTTAAACAGTAAAAGCTGGAAGGAAATCAATCAGTATCAACAAGCTAAATCAAGGCATCGTTACCTCAAATGAAGGCTGGAGTGTTTCTCTGAAATGAAAATTTTTGAGCATATGGTTTCCAGTATTTTGTTAGTGAGTCTATATTTGTGAGGATGTTGCCATTTGCCTTGTCCCATCTGTTGTTTGTCTTGTTAGCTGTGGGACTAGGCTTTACCGATTTCAAGGCAACCTCCCACTCATCTTTTTCCTTTGTGGTTGTAAGTACGTTCTTAGAAGGATCCATGGCAAAGAGGTAAAGCTTTAATAAACCCTTTAATAAAGCAAAGTTTCCATTTTCTCCATCTTCCTTTCCACAGCATTCATATCACAGACTCAGAACGATGGAGATAAAACTTTCCCCAAGGAAGACTGAGATCTGACCAAGGGGTGTCCATGTGTGGGAGTTCATGAACAATGTTACAGCTGAATCATGTGTGAGAGTAGAAGCACTACAGTTAGCTCACAAGTATCCCGGCTGACCGACAAAAGTAAAATTCCCCTGCTTTACTCTCGAGCAAGTGGTAGTTGGTTTGGTAAAGAAATACACCCATTTTATTGCTAATGGTCTCAGACGTTATGAGGGATCAAGTGTTTGTCTCATCATGGAAACAATCTGCCCAAAGGCACGTCCATTTTAAAGGAAAAATAGAATGACACATTAAGACATTATGTAGCCTGTGTTACGGCAAAGACCACTTTGAAAAAAAGTTTTAGAAAAATTGGTTTTCTCACACAGTTACAGATGTCTTCTCCTTGACAATTGTTTCAGACAAAGATAGGCTTTTTTGAGACAATGTAAACCACTGTGTATCATATTGAAATCATATTAAATAGAATAGGCTTCAAAAGCTGAGACTGTGTATGTTAGAATACAGGGTTTCTTTTACAGTATCTTTAGTTTGTGTACTTGTCCTTGTCTACAGTAGCGCTGAAAGAAGATTTTCCCTAGTATTCACTCAGCCAGTTTGTCAGTTGTTCTCTGTGTGAAGTATTCATTGATGCCCTGTAGGGTACCAAGGCTGCAATGGACTGCCTGTCAACTAGAAGGAATACAGCATGAATTACTGGCATGGTATTTTGATCGCTTTACATGGCACCTACCACTTATAACACTTATGGACCTTAATATTACACTTCATTTTCAAGGTTGATTCAGTATGATATTGCTATTTCCACTCAGACTGTATTTTCATTTGTAAAGTCCTGTATTTTATTTTGTTATGCCCAAATTGCCAATCAAGTGACCACTGATACCCCAACTAGAACCCAAGTTGACAGAATAGATAAATTAATATTTTTAACTTCAAAGAAAGACAGAAAAAAAGATGTACAATTTTGCCTAAAAGTAAAAATGAACATATGTCCCAATAGGCCTATTTATATGACAGAAACATAATGTGCAAGCATTTCTTCCATCTGTTTCTAGAGAGATCTCTGTGAATTAGGTTCTACATTGTGGTTTTGGCAGGGTGTTTCATACACCCACAGATAATTTTGTTAAACTGGTCCTCCTGTTGTAAGTACTGATTTTTCACTTACTCAGCAATTCTAACCTCTATTCATGCTGTTGAGTTAGCAGCAACACTAGCAATCTGAGATGATTCTCACTCCCTTTTAGTACCAGTCCAGTGACTCTGTGTTTTTTCCATTCTCCTCTCTTAACTCTGTTACTTGGTCATTTTCTTGAGGCTCTGCTTCTCTCCCCGGCTCAGGTGTCTGACAGGTGTGACTATGTCTTTGTGAACGGGAAGGAGATGAGGGGGAAGGTGAGGATTGCAGTGAACTTCTTCTATGGCTACCTCAGCGCCCAGCTGGAAATGACTGTCTGGATCCCACGCCTCCCCCTGCAGATAGAGGTGTCTGACACTGAGCTCAGTCAGATCAAAGGCTGGAGGGTGCCCATCTCCACCAGCAAAAGGTAGGTCAACAGCAGCCCTGAGAATGGGATATTAAACCTGTCCTTCTATTGTGTCCTTGCTGCTATCCCATGGTCATTCACTTAGTGCTGTAACTCTAGGCCTTTGCCACATTATCAATCCAGAACAAACTCACATACTGTATAAGAAAATGATTCTGTTTTAATTCTCTCCAATTCCTCACAGTGGGCACGTTGCATAATGTCTCATTTTCATGGAGCCCCAAGGGAGCATTTACAAAGCACATGGTTGTTTGCTAAGTTGTTTGTACACACCTGAGCAGTCTTGCCCGGATCCAGATAAATCCCCAGCTAGAGAGATGGATGAGCCTGAACTTGATTTAGCACACAATAAGCCAGAGGTACAGGAGTGCCCCTAACCCTCACCTGGCTTTTGTTTGCTTGTGCAAAGTGGGCATAAAATTTTACTCACTTGTGAGACGCATACATAACCTTAATTATTTTACTAGTTAAGGAATATGTCATATACAGTAATAAGCCATAGCCATCATTCTCCCATTGAGCTCCATTTATAGGGCATTTACTAGAGCACAAGGGTACAACAGAAGTGTCCCACTCAGGATTGTCCAATCATGTCAATCAAGTGGTAAAAAGATTTTTTTTTTTTTAAAAAGCAATGAAGCTGAAAGATAACAGCAATGTTGCTGGTGTGGTCCGATAAGTCATTTCTTTTTTTTTAACTCAACCCAAAATCTGTTCGTCCAGCCACTGACCAACGGCCTGGCCATGTGTGTACTGTGCTCAGCTAAAATGTGTCAACATTTCTGATATAGATGGCACCAGGAGGCTAGAGAGATGTGCTTCACATTGTCTTGCGAAAAGGATTTTCTTCCTTTGAAACCTGTCTTGTTACTCTATAGGAAAGTATTAGGGAGGAGTGCTGAGCTGAGGATTACAATAAAAAACCGCTACCTGTGCCATATATCACTATGACAGGCTGATATAAGGTACCATACATCTTGTTCAGTAGTGTGATATAACCCTTTGGCAGCACTAGTATAATTAAGGCAGTTTGGGGTCTGACATTGTTGTTGAGGCAGTTGTATTCCAACACCTGATCTTGCCAAGTGAGTCCCATTACCTTTCCTGCTTTGTCCCCAGACAGGATCAGCTTCTCCAGCAGCTCAATTATGAGCTTAATTTGTAATTAGAAAAAGTGTTGGCTGATACCAGTGCAACTTTTGAAAACATTTCAATTCAAAACTTTTTAAAGAGAAAATACAGTACTTGAAGTACGTACATAATTCTATGTTTTGGATGCTTTTTAAAAGCATTCGTTTTGTCTGCTGTCTGCATTTGGGACAATATAGACAAAGTGACTTGTTTTTTTGTCTTCTCTCAACAGTATTTATCAGGGAATAACAGGCACGACCTTGTAAGTAGCAACAATGCTCTAAGTGACATCAGGCAGTATTTCACAGTGTTCAGTCTGAAATCAGCCAGAGAACATGACAGTAAAATGTGCTGCTTTGGGCTATTACAATTGCATGTGGGGTGTAGAGACTTGGTTTCTTTTAACAGATTACTAAATGTTCAAAAATGGATCAAAGCCACAGAGTAAGGAAACTGCCAGAATTCTCTTTGCAGTGTAGTGCTTACTCTTTCCCTGGGTATATTGACCTGATATGTTTTACAGTTGTTGGAATTAAATTCTTTACTTAAGGGATATGGGAATAAATTATTTTCAGGGTTTATGTCTTGTCATCATTTTTTTCTCTGTAGCAGACTGGATAGACATGGCAATATAACAGTTTTTCTTTAGAGAGCTAGTTTGAATAAGAAAACAGGAATGCTGTTTTTCATCTTCCTAATGCATATTTTTCTATCATTTACTTCCATATCCGTGGAAGACATTTAATACTGTAGATTAGTTTGCCCTTCAGTACCACCAGCCCTGTTTTAGGATGCAGAAAGTTTTTAAAATAGACTTTTGCTATTATTTTTGCCTCTTTATGTGACCTCACAGATTTACATTTACAATAAATGCACATAGTTAAAATCCATAAAGACCTACAAAAATATTAATCCCAGGAAGGTAAACATAAAAATGAATCCCTTATGAAACTAAATCAACGTTAATTTTGTTAATTTTAGATGTTAATTTTAGATGTGTATTCTGCCACATTTTGTTGAATAAATTGTTGTTTGATTTAAACTGAAATGTCAACAGAATTACTTTTCAAAGACATCATCTCCTAAAGCTGTTCCCCTGAAACATGCTGCTCGCACTGGTTATCCAGCCCCTCTGGGGCCATTTTATACCATCTCATTGCCCCTGGCCAGCTGATCTACTGTTTTATGTGCCCCAGTGTGACCTCTGCTCACTGCTGCTACAGAGCTCTGGAGTCTTCTCTTTCAGCTAGAGTATATTTTCTTCTCCATTAGTCTTGACTTGATTACCCATTCTGGCAGCAATCAGAAATGTAGATTTTATGCAGTCACACAGAATAGACTGTATTTGTCTGATTAATGTACAGTATATAAACAGTATCATACATTTTGGTAGTAGATTCTTATTGTAAAAAACACAAAGTCATGTATTAATCAAAATGTGTAGCTTTTTTATTATTATTTGTGAGTAATTTTTTCATTGTTTTCCCTTTACTTTGAAAATACGGTAACACCAGTCTCGACAATACTGAATCAAGGATGAAGCAGTCAAGGCAGAGCCCCCCACCCCCCCAACTCCCCCCTTTGTGTTTCAGTTATCCTCAACCAGATCAGCCTGCTTCATCCTCCTGCAACCCTCTCCAAAGTTGTTATCTGTTTCTGATCCTTGACATCAAAGACCATGTCTCAATATGAGTGCAAAATGAACATATTGGCAAATCCTTCTTTCATCCTGTCAGTACGACCTCAGACCCTCTTCCTTTTTCTTAAGTCTCTTGTTTTTAGATAGAGTTCTAAAAGATTGCATTTAATTTGAATGTATTGCTTATCCAACAAGCTTTCAAAGGTCCTTCTCAGTGGAATAGGCTTCATTATTTTGAAAATGCACACTGACAGCATTGCACACTGAACTACAATGTCCTTTTGAACTTACAAGCTGTAAATGTCATAATCGTTAGCCCTAGCCTTTTGTGTAGCATGGTCTTTATACAAGTCAGAGCGATGATATTAACCTTCTCCTGTTTTCCGCTTGAGTAGCTGTTCCTCATTAAACTTAATGGGGGCTGTCAATTTAATTTTCTTTCATACCTGGGATCTCAGATCGTAACCATCCTTAAAAAATGATTGATTGACTTTTTAGCTGAAATGCAGTGATTATGTCTGAAAAAGTGTTTCGTGGTTTGTAGGTTGCATGTCATAGTCTTTCTACAAGATGTATCTGGGTGGTAATTTAAACTTTTAGCAAAGAACATGTTTTGCCTCTAAAGCAGCGATGATGTATCGGTTTAGATGAACAATATTTAGACGAGGCCTGAGAATTTCTTGAGTTTATTTTTTTAGCACAAAAATGTGAATAGCTTTAACTGAAAGCAAAAATTGTCCTCGGTCTTATTACTTGAAAGCAGTCCTACTCACAAAAAAGGAATGATGTTGAAATACTTCATATTTGTAGTTGCAGTGAATCTATTAATTTCTAACATTATGCTGAAGTCTTATCCACACTGTCCTTTAGAATATATACTTTATTACAGCAGTTTGTTCTTAACTAAATTTAATCACTTGATTTAGATCAAAGGTGTCTAGCATCCTACAGGGTGCTGTGCTTTCCAGTTTGTGCTCCACCTGAGCCCCCTGCTACCGAATTGCTCTAATTCCTTGATTAATTGCATAACGTTAACACTTTTGCTTGTTCCCCATTTTTTTGGTACCCTAGCTTGTATGAATTGTCGGCTGTGTGAAGATCATAAGACATAAAGACATAAATCCTAAATGTCATTGTGAGCAAATAATTAGTTTAACTGAATCCTCTGTCTGGCTTGAAAATGAGAAGAATGTCCTTTGGGGACTTTAACTGTGTTGTGTAGCATCTCTTTTCCTGTTTGACAAATGGGCAGAAGAATTTATATAGAGACCTATATTAAAAAGGTGATATACTAATCTTGCTCATAAAATGTATATTACTATTGCTACTATAACCCTCCTCCCTCTGCTATTACTGCAAAAATGCACATAATACTGCTGCTTCGCCAAATAATACCATCAATATTAGTAATATTGCTCTGCATTGAAGTCAGAACAACCCAAAGGTGGTGTGTGGATTGTGTTGCAGGTCAGCACGGGACAGTGACGATGAAGATGAGGATGACAGGAAAGGAAAGGGCTGCATGCTGCAGTACCAGAATGCCATGGTGCGCGTCTTCACACACTTTGTAGCCGAGCCCGCTGACCCAGGTGGTCAGCTGACCTACATGCTGGGCACAGATTGGCAAATGGACATCACGGACCTGGTGAGAGACTTCTTGAAGGTGGAGGATCCTCAGATTGCGAAACTCCAGGATGGGAGGATCCTCATGGGAATGGATGTGGGCATGACCACCATCCAGGTAGGACACAAGGGGGACTAAATTCAGAAGCTCCTGTTGCAAATCCAGTGTTTATTTTTGTGTTGGGTAATCTTATCACTGTGAAAGATGTGGTGACATATGGCATGGTGAAAGTGGAGGACTGATCTGGCTTTTGAGAGAATCCAAACAGTATTTGTTTGTGAAGCTCATGCATTTTGAGGTTTAAGCCAGAAGCTACAGTGCCTGCAGCAGAGCAAAAGGGATTAGGCTTTTTTAGGAAGCAATTGATTTTTACATTTTTAAAATGTTGCTTGCTGCCAAGGCCACAGTAATGTACCTATTTCATTTAAAAGGAGTCTTTTGACAGAAGATGTAAGATTTCCCTTGAGGAAAGACAGAAAACCTGTCTTTTCTCGTGAATAGAGTTCTTTCATTTACTTGTCTCTTTTGATTGACTGGAGAAATTGCAGCTCCTTGTTAATACCTGTGTGAGACCTATCTACATCCCAGACAGCATGCAGTCATTCATTTGTCTACCTCGAAGACATAACTTTACCTCTCAGCACATCTGTTCCTGTCTGAATGTTGTTGTTTCATATAACCCCCTCCTGCCTTCAACCAAAAAACACAAAAAAACGACAGAAGAAAATAACAGTAATTTATCACTATTAAAAATGGCTATGGCTCACAATGCCTGTTTTTCTCTCTACCTTCTGCTGTGAGGTTAAAGTATTGACAATTCTCTTAGAGGCCTCTAAAATTTATTTAATAAGAAAATTGTGTATTGATTGACAGGCAAGACTGGGAGCAGTTGTGAGCTGCAGCAGCCAAATGAAACTCGATCGCATCCCAAATTACACAAATTAAAATCCTATAAAAGAAATAAAGCAAGTGCTGGCAAAAGCCCTCGATTACCTTGTTAGATTTTGGAGTACTGTCACTAGGCTCAGAGACCAATAAGACACTTAAATCTGAAAGCATACTTTGTTTTCAGTGTCTGTAAAGTAACTGTGCGTGACACAGTGCACATTTCTAAAGACCAGGGGAAATGTGTCTACTTCGGTGCCTTAGAGATGGAAACATTCAGTTCAACCACAATGGCAAAGCAATGTGATATTTAATCAGTTATATTTTTTACTGGTTTCACATTTTAAGCTTAATGAGAGGCATAGATTCTCAGCTATGAATATTACAATGACATTTTAATAATTGTCTTACATTGTGTGTAGACAGCTTTTGCTTTTTATTGTTCAGCTCTGTTTTTCTGAAAGGAAAGCATTTGAGTACTGTCTTACATCTGAAATACTTCTGTCAAAGCTAGATCTAAAAAGATTTGTTTGTTTGTCATCTGACCTTTTATTTTCTAAGATGGGTACATTTGTAATTCATGGTCGCTGAGATAAATTGATCTTTTGATTAAAATAAGTTATTATTCTGAGATAATGAATAAATAATGCTCTATTATTGAGACATGGCTTAGGGTAGTTGTTTGCTGGAGCAAATATCCTCATAAATGTAGATTTATTGACAATCACAATACTTTTGTGAGACTATTTCTGATATTTCTAGGAACTATGAAAATGGCATACATGAGTATTTAGGCTTTTTCAGGCGGAATAGAAAATTGTAAAGTATTGAATGCAGATAATGTACAGCATAGATTATGTGTAATTTGGATGTAAAGTGTTTGTGTGTGTGATTTCTGTGATGTTTATGTGTGGATAATAGCTGAAAGTATGAGAATTTTCATGTATAATTGTAGAAATGATGTAGTCTCTGACAATAAAATTGATCAGACTTTGTTTTATAACCATCCACAGTGTTATTTAAGACATTGAAATGTTTTTTTTTTCCCTAGATGAGTTACAAACAATGTATACGGTGCTACTGTACATACTGTAAAGTACATACCAAAAGGAAACCATTAAAATAGGGTGGAAAAAAAGTAAAAATACCAATATCAACAAAAAAGGAAAAAGGGAACAGTGATGCAGTGAAGTTCAAACACCCCTTGTTTGAAGTGAGGCACTTGAGACATATTTCACTAATAAGCTCTCTACTGTTAAATGTATACAATCCAGGTCATCGTAAATGCATATACTGTACAGTATGTGCTCTTTTTACTTATATGGTTAAATAAAGCATTTTAGAAATAGGTTAACCTTCACTGTTTGTTGCTTGGCAGGTGCTGTCCCCTCTGTCAGACTCCATCCTGGCGGAGAAGACGGTGACGGTGCTGGATGACAAGGTGGCCATCACAGAGCTGGGGGTGCAGCTGGTCACAGGGCTCTCCCTCTCCCTCCAGCTCAGTCCAGGAAGTAACAGGGCCATCATCGCCACGGCAACCACACATGAACTTCTGCACAGCCCCAAACAGGTACACATTGCCCGCAGAATCAAAATCTCACAGTTCTTGCGTCCCGTAACTTTCTTGTTTGAAGGTTATTCCATTGAATAATGAGTTTTATTTGAAATAGTACCACAGATTTCTTTAACTTTTTACAAAAAATGTAAACTTTAGTGTCTTTACCAACAAGATGGGATGTCTTTGTTTTTCGAAAGCACAGAGCATGTTCTCACAAGTCAGTAGACAGGGGATGAGTGTAAGAAATTGTAAATCATAAGGAGCATCAAACAAATGTTCAGACATGCAATGACACTACAATTTACAGTTTTTCTTTTTTTTATTTTAAGTTTAATTTGTTGACAGCAATTTGAAGACTAAAAGTTGCAAGCCAGCAGAAACAATTTTAATTTTATTTTGTTTTTCATTATTTTCTTATCTGAGGATTTTGAAGTAACCGCAGCCCCTAGCATTGCAGTGCATTATCATACTGAAAAAAGACCAATTCTGGTAATAAACACTTGCCAAGTGTCTTTCCTGTAGAGTTGTAAGGTAACTGTAGTTCAAGAATCAAAGAGCAATTTTACAGGAAAAATAACCTAATTTTGTGTTTTATTGTTGGTGTTTCAGCACCATAATGCATGGTTTCATTTTATGCATTTTACATAAACTGGTGTGGGAAGGATTACAATTAAAAATGCATTTTAGCTAACCAAGTGTTGTGAATGACAAAGATCTGTGGGGTTCAGCAAAATTCTCCACTCCTTGATTTTTATACCTCATAATGTGCCACCTGGGACCTTGAGAGATTAAAAAGTAAAAATAATTCTTTCTGGAATATGTTCTGTACCCAAACGCCTGCATTGCTGAATTATTATTATACTAGAAATTAATAAGAGTAGTTCTCAAAAATATCACATGGATTACCTCTTTTTTTTACTGCTTTGCTAACCTACTTAGTATTAGCTTTCAACGATGAGCTGTACTCTAAAGGAAAGTGTATTCTTAGGGTGGTCGGAATGAAGGGAAAAGTTTAATCTGGAGGATAAGCAGCACAGTGTTGAAGTTCAAAGAAAACAAGATTTTCAGCTTAAGTAACTCATGTTGTTCTTTTTTATGTCTGTGACTGGCACTGGAGGATAGAGTTAAAAGCCCATTTATCTTCACAATCTTCCTGAGAAGAGTGTCCACTATGCAGATAAGTAGGAAATAATTCCTCCCGCTTGTCTCATAACTAGAAGGCCCTGTCATAGAATGAAGGGTATTGCTTGATGAAGCCCATGGGATTTGTAGAGATGGCATATTAGGGAGTTAACTGTTAAATTACAGGCAGAAAGGCTTAGGGTGCTTGCTTGCTTTTAAATCCTTATTTGCATTAAAATTCCACTGCTAAGAATGTCCTGCTTTTCTGCATTGTTAATATTATGTCTTCTGTGTGTCCAATGTAGAGGCAGATCACTTTGACACTCTTGATCACTGCTCAAATGTCTGCATTCCCTTTGCATCTTGCCCCGGAACCCTGACATGGTTACAAGAATTATTTACAAAAAATAAATGCACTTGACCTTCTTTGCTAAATGTCTGAGCACATCTCTGAATGCGCCTGACATCTCTCTAATACCAAAAGGCCTATTTAAGAAAAAAGATTCCTTCAAAAAAATAGAATTGATTCAACATGTTCCTGGAATGGATCTTAAAGAAAAAGTCCAAATTCGTGCCTGCTTTGTGCTGCGGAAAAATAGTTTTCTGTGTTAAAAAAGCAAAAAGTAGCCAGTTGGAGGTTAATTTCAGTCACTGCATTCATGGTATGTTGCTGGTCTGAAGTAGGTGAAAGCAGTGAGCATCTCTATGAATTATAGACCTTGATGTTTGGACTCACAGAATTTCTGCCCTTCACTACTACATTACAAACATAGTTAGATCAGACAGAGTCAAGATGATGTGACAATTTCCTTTCAATTTTAAAAAAACACATAAAACAGGTAAACACTATTAGTATTATTTGGTAAAATCTTAATACCTTCCGGAGAACAAATTAATCTTCAAAAAAATATTCTTAAAGGTAGGAAGTGCTCTTCACATTGTCTTTGCTCCTGGATTATTTAGCATGCTTTCCCGGGAACGACCAGGTACTGTATGATGCATACGTAGTGTGGATTACTGTAGATTCTCTAAAGACAGAAAAAACAAATTATTTTTAAGGCTCTTGATATTTTTATTACTAATGAAAAGCTACATGTTCAAAACATCAAGTTGAGCTCTTGTATTATGATCAATATGATTAAAAAAATAAAAAATGCCTTTTGACAGTTCGATATGATCAGACATAACTTGTCAGTGCTTTTGAATTAAACATCAGTTTTTGTTATGCACCATGTAGCAAAAACCCCAGAGGAGATGGAGCGGTGTTATGTATGTTGAGAGGCATTAAAAACATAACAATAGCTATCTAATACTCATTTCATTCTTTTTAAACCCTCTCTGTATAATTTTGTTAGAACCAAGGATAGGTATAAAACCTTGTGCAGCATTGTGATGCCCCCTGTTGTTTCAGTTTAAATACACCACTGAGGGTATTGTACCAGCAGATAAACTGGGTTTGTTTTTTCAAAATGCAATTGGCCGCTGCTGCATTAAATTTTGTGAGTGACGGTACAATAAAATCAAGGAAAATATACAAATGTGTAAGAGAAAATGGCTGACATGGTAATATGAGCAGGCAAACTTCTCTTTCTTGCAATATTACTACTAATTATTATGACATTTGGGCCATAATTAAAAATAAACTCTAAACAAAACACAAACATGTGACCAAAAACAGGAGAGGGACATGTTACTGACTGAGAGCTGCATAGCACTGACAACAGAGCCCTCACTGCGCAAACACTGATACTCAGCCAATAGTATTAACCACAGGGACAAGGAGAGGAATAGCAGAGGCATCGACCTACACTGGGATCAAACATGCAAACATTTAGTGTGCAAACAATTGAGGCTTGTTTTTAACATGATATGATCAATAATCCTACAAACTCTGTTAAACTCAATGATTTTTGTAGTTTACAAATGGTCCTAAGAGTGGGTTCACAGGTTTGTCTCTGAAGAGGCCGGTGCGCTGACATCATCATCTTTGCTGAAACAGAAGAGCAGGGTATAGAGTTGTGCACCCTCAGGATGCAACATAGATCATATTCTAGCTATGTGATGACAGAAAACTTACCATCTACTGGCTTGTAAGTAAAAAGTCATGTTTCAAAACTAATTCTTTATTTCAGAGACAGCTGTCAAAGCTCAGTCTTACCCTTTAAACTGCACTCTGTCTTTTTTTAATCCATTATTTAAAGAATGTTATGGAAAGATATAAACAGCTTTCATACCGTCACGTCTAGAAATGGCTTTGAAACAAATCTACTGACATAAGAATAATGAAGCAGATACAGAAATGCTGAATAATAGATGTTGCGATGGAGATACAGTAAGTAAAC